TTTGGGGAACGGACAGACCACCGCGTCGTCATACGCCAACAGCGCAGGGCCAGATGACCGAGCAACCATCAAGCCCGAATCAACCACGCGTGATGAAAGGTCAGGTCAGAGCCCGCATGCCGTTCAACAAACTACCTACACACAAGAAAGCAATCACGGTTAATTGTCGTTGTATGTTTGCAGTAATGCCTGTATCCTATAAATACTGCAAACTCCTGTGCATACGCCACCCGTATCTGCTATGACTCTCTGACTATGTCTCTGATGACGAATCCGCGACGGATCTCAAAACGTCAGGGAATAAAAGTATTGTCTCAGCGATCCAGTCGTCTTCTTCTAAAGCCTTTTCCTTGCTCTCATAGGTTCGAATCACATCGGGGCCATCGACTTCCTCCCAATTGGATTTTACATCGATAGCAAAGAATGCCAGTCCAGGAAAGATGCGGTTATCGCTTGCAAGGCAGGTTAAAGAAATCTGGTCAGCTGACGTTCCCGTCACTTATATGGGGAACAGTAGCCCAGCTATGCAGTGCTCAGACGATTCAATGCGGACGGCATCTATAAGGCAGGTGGGATTTCTAAAGCAAACTCAAGCCCTCATTATTATTAGTAGTATTACTCTTAGTGTAAATATGCTGGCGACGAGGCGAATAATCGTATCTCGAATGATCTATTCAGACAACGATCGCTACTATCATGGTGATACCATGTTTTGGCAGCCGTGAGAAGTAAACGCAAGGCCGCAACGCTGAAGCGAGAAGTCTTACGAACAAAGACAGGAGCAAGCGAATGGTTTTTTGGCTTATTTGGCGTCAACAGACGAGGATATCCAGCGCCATGCCGCAGGCAATACGCCTGAAGCCGAGTCGGTTGATCAGTTTGATCTGCGCTGAGATGGCGTAAATCCGCTGGTGCACAGTTGGGAGTGTTGGTTGATGCCACAATAAAGAATTTGGTCGAATGGCGCTGTATATGTTATCATTTTCTTATTCGCTATGCACGGTTATATTTGGCCTTAAAGATCCGTAATATACTCGGATTCCAAAATTCTGATTTTCTCACGAAACTGCATGAGTGCAAACTCGCTGTGCGACGCAATGACAAACTTTCCTTGGTAGCCGCCCACGCATCCTCACCAGGGCACGGCTTTGACTTTGAAGACACGAGAATACTGAGTCAGTCAGACGACCGAATTTCACGCCTGCTGCAGGAGGCATGGCAAGGACTCTATTAATGGGCAGATCGATCTGCCAGTTGCTTATCAGGCGTCACGCGAACAAATCAATGGCACAGCTAAAGGTCACTCCAGGCAGATATGAGCTAAATATGCAGTGAGCTGTACAATCCTTTATTCCTTGACAATGGGCTCGCGTGCGAGTCCGAAACATCGGATAAATAAGCAACTGGCCCCAGAGAAGGCTTTCCCGTCTTCTATTCAATCACTTGGGCCTCGCATATTGCCAGCCATTTGAAAAAGATATACACATTTAAGATCGTAAATGATAATATCTAGAACAAACTGCCTTCTTTACGGTACAGAGATTCCCTTACGTGCGTGATGTCTGCACGCTGTTTACATGTGAGTCAGAGATTAGCGACTGTTTAGATCAAGGAAATAAGCTGAAGAGCCAGCGCCTACAGCCGGCAACTTCGCTGCCAGGTAAGAACGAAGTAGAGGTGTCAACAAGAAAACTCGCATACACTGCCGCCAGGAGTAAACATACAAATGGACACACAGACAGCCACTGACTGCATGCGACGGTGTTCCGATCTAGAGACTTCGCAGTTTACCGATCTAAAGTGCAGCTGACCAGTTTGTGCGATTAGAGGGTGATGCAGCGAATTGTTCACAGCACAATCTCACCTCCGAGGTCCAAATTCAAGGTAAACTGTGTGTGTTAACAGAAAGACCACACAGTGTTGAGGACGCGCGGCGCAGCGCGGCGAAATGGTCTGGTAAAGAACCGGAGATGGGAGGGCAAAACTCACCTCCTCAGAGGCGCAGGCAGCCCGCCCAGCATAGACGGAAAGTTGACGGTTGCACTGAGCCAATTGGGATTGGAGAACCTCGCAGAGGAGAGTGCTCACATTTTCCCCACCCTCCTCGTCGGCATCGAGCACTGCTGGCAGCTGGGACGCGTCGGTGCCTACAAATTCAAGAGCGTCCTGTGCAGACAGGTCATGGGATTGTTGCTGTTGCAGCTGGTGGTGCCTGACATCGACAGCACGCGAGGAAGAAGAAATCGAAGATGTGGTAGCGTTGGATGCCTGAAGCATCAAGCAGATTAGGAGAGATTAAAAGTATCATCGTCAGCACGGTCAATGGCAGCGTTAAGACAAACGGTGGTACCTATGTGAAATGAGAACGTTTATCTCTATATTTCGCAGAATATC